CGAGTAAAAGACCGCGGTTGGATCTTCGATCTCACATTGATGTTTATTTCAATAGTTCATTATCACATAATACATACTACATTATAAACAAGATACGGCAGGAGATCTAGCAAGCTCTGCTGAGCTTTTTTAAAGATCCACATTTAATTATAGTATAATTTGAAATGGTTTACTAACTGAATAGACGGCGGATATTAATGTTTTTCTTAACGATCAGAGATTTGCAAATACACAATTATTTTATCTCACTACTTTGACAAGACTGTAGGAGGGGAATTATTCGTGCTGCTTGTTTAAAAAGGGCAAAAGAAAACTCACATACCTCTTCTTATCCTGTATCAATGTTAAATATCTGGCGTAAAATATTTCCAAATCGCCATAAACGCTCGATCGATAACGAGCGAGAGTTGTTAGTTTCAATTGATGATTTCCTGATAAGCAATCCACGATGAAATCTAGAAGAACACCTCCAATTCCGGCTAAAGCTTTGCATACTAAGCAATTCTGACTTCAACCCAGTAAAACTCCTTTAAACGCACGCGATCGACCTCAGCTCTGGTTCTGCAAGTTTACCCTAGAACGAATCCCCTAGAACATCAAACGAAGGGAATTTCCATCACGCACCGATCAACGTTCGAAGGTCAACTGAAGCTAAAAAGTCGTCACCAGTCTTTCATCGATCACTCGGCCAGACAAAAGCTCTTGCGCATTGGTTCAAAGTGGGGCAGTTTTTAGAAAGTCAAAAGCAGTGATATCTTCTCTGCAAAACAATGGCTACATTGTAAACATTATATCACTGAAGACCGCCCTTTTTCGGTTGTAGTGACTGTGGTCGAGCAAAGTAGCCGTAATGCCCTTAAATTTCCCTCCGAATAATAACAATAATTAATAATTTGATATTTATGTTGCGCAAATTAACATGTGGATATGATGAAATGCGCATCACAACACTTTTCGGGGGAATTTGGCCGGACTGCATCAGCAGTTTACCAACAATCGAAGGAAACTTATTTGAAGATGCCCCTCCCCCCAGTTCCCAGTAAACAGGCCAGACCACATCACAGTAATCTCGTTTAACGTCTCCTGCCTAACCAAATTAACTAATTGATAGATGCAGGGGACGGAACCTACTGTTTATTCGTCCTTATCCGAGAAAACTAGAATGTCTATCCATTTCTCTATATTATAGAAAGGTAGCGCATTCTCCTCAGTTATTTTAAGACCTTGAGTGTTGGTCCGGCCGGGGCTCGAACCATCGACTTCGACCTCCCGCGCGACAACCCAGCGCTCTAACCAATTGAGCTAAACGGGAGGCGGTTGCATCGAATGCGATTCTCTAAGCTACTATGAAATACTTTAGACGAGCAGACCCGCCATTTCCAATAAGGTATAGTGCAGGGCCACAGGGGTTTCCGGTTATTTATCGAAAAGACGAAAAGAAAGAAGCCAAGCTCGGAAGCATAAGTTGTAAGCCAATGTGAAACGCATTGCCAGATAACGATTTGGTTCATTTTAATTCTTGTAGTGAGTACAAAACTATCGACACTTTGTACAAAATTATCTCTAACTCTAGCTTTAATTTAGTTAAGTTATGTAGCATAATTTGTTTCAAAGCCTTCAGTTTAAATTATCGAACCTAGAAGTGACAATGGAGATCTATGAAAGCTAGAAAGAACAATATTATTCTTAGTTAAAAAGATATGCAGCAAAACTTCTGAAATTTTCCCCCAACTTTGTTCAAAACGTAAAGCTCGCCTTTGACATCTCTCAAGATCTACTGAAAGGTATTGCGGGAGGCTATGATGATAAACAGGGCATGCATATTCAGTGACAGGCCTAATACTAAAAGAAAGAAGCTCATGGTATGTTATTTGATGTCATTAATGATGACCATGATTTTTTGTCAATTCGTTCCCAGACATCCCACGGCCAATTACAAACGTAGGATTAGGTACGAAGATATTCTGTGTTACTTATAGATTGTCCTTGAGCTTCTTTCTTTTTCATCTCGCCTATTCTTCCACATATTCGTCATCTGTTTGGTGATTTATCTTTAAAACTGGGTTGATCAGAATCTTGTTCTGTGTCCCGTACAGGCTTTCCTTCATCTTCCTCACTGTCATCTTTTCCTTCTCCGAGCACTAAGACGGACAAAAGCAATAAATGGTTGTGTCCCAATAAAATTTACCTGATCCCCACAAGGCCATTAATGTCCCCCCTCCCTCCCCAATATCCGCAGTCAGTTTTCTGTAATTCCCACTGCATGCTCTCTTAGCCACGGCTGATCTCCCTTTGGTTCCCCTAGAAAATCGGGTGATCTCCCCAATTCCTCCTACTCCACCACCCCTCCCCCCCCCCCCAGTGATTGACAATGACTGATAATTCCTAATCTACAGTGGCTTAACATCCGATCAATAGCGAGAATTAATACTTTCGCCCACAGCCAGATGAGCTGTTGTAACAGAAGCCGACCTGGCCAATAATTGATTAATAATAATGATAATGGGACCCGCGAGTGGAGTCCAATTCAGTCTCTGATCATACGAGCAATTAACAAAATCGGACGATTGCGAAGTGAGCGTCCCATTTGTTTATCATGAGTATTATTACAGACAGAATTGACGACATAGATTCCTGTTACCAATTCATCAAAACTATCACAAAATTCGTGAAAGAAACTAGACATTGGTTATACGCTTTAATTTAATTTACTCCATTTTCACTGCAGTGGGGAAGGACTGGAAGGGAACATACGAACCATTCGTGCTAGTCCACCCTCCCACCCATCCTACCCTAGGAGAGGACATCCATCACACAGTAATCTCGTGTGTGGGAAATTAACGTCTCCTACCCCAACCCTGCAGGAGACTGGACCTCCATTTATTCGGAAATATCCGAGAAGACTGGAATATCTAACCATTTCTTGATGTTATATAAAGGTACCATATTCTTCTCAATTATTTTAAGACCCTCAGTGTTGGTCCGGCCGGGGCTCGAACCCTCTACCTCCCGCACAACAGTCCAGCGCTCTATCCATTGAGCTAACCGGGAGGCGCTTTCATAAAAAACAAAAGTCAACTCGGCAAAATGCGCAACAACAGCGCTCGCACATGACGCGTTCTGTCCACCTTTACAGACATGTCGTGTCAACTGTCTCTTAACTGTCCCATTACGCTGTCCAGTTACAAGCATGACGCGTACACTGTCCTATTAGTGCTTAAATCGATCTGGTAATGACCAATCACGTTCGAGAATTTTGTGACAGTTTTGATTCAACAATGTGCTGAATTAAAGAACCTCACCTTCTCTCCTGGAGATCTCGTGAGTAGCCGCTCCTTTTCCTATTATGAGTACAGCTAAGTAAGCTCCAAATGCTGCGAAACACAGGATGCACCCCTCGGCTAAAAAGCTCATTGGACCAACGTAGTCAAAAACTTTGCCCACAATGAGCGGAATTATCATCTCTCCTATAGCTGCACTAACCACAAACATGCATGTCACCGTACCTGAAAACCACAAAAATTGAGATAAAACATAATTTGTTTCGGGATGGAACATGATACAGACTTTTCATACCACGTTAGATTAACAAAGATAAATTGCAGTGGCGTGCAGGGACAGATATGAAGCTAGAGGATGTGAAAGTCTTTATTCTCCTCTTTCCACTTTCCCGTCATCCCTCCTTTTGTGCCAGTATCTTTTGTGCCAGAATAACTCGTCCCCAAGTCTCGCGCGCTTCTAAGGACCAATGAGTGCGAGTGACGATCGAGATGGTTACAGAGAAGCAAGTGAAATTTGTGTACTTTTCACAGCAACCTCAAGCGTTGCGTAAGTTGTTGAAATGGCACTGGACCAAGGTTATCACTAATTGACAAACCTGTGACGTTAAAATACTGCTCTGCTAATGCCACACTTGTAGGAAAGACGTTGCTCATAAAAAGACCAAAAGTACTAGTTCCCATCCAAAGTGCAGACTCGCTCGCTCTGAAGACCAACATTAATAAACTTGAAACTAAACAGCCAATCTGAAAGAGAATTAAGATATGACTTAAAC